TATTGCATAGAAAATATTTTATTTACAAATTACTACTTTCATAATATATTATATATAGAAGTATAATTTTATTTTATTATAAATATATTTTATTTTATTTTATTTATTTTTATTAATATAATTCAATATAAAAATGTATATTTAAATTTAATTTTATAATTTATTTCATATTTATATTTTTTAATTTTTTATATGAATTTATCTTTTTGTTTTTATATTAAATAGTAGTATAATTATATATTATTTTCAAATTTTACATTAAATTTTATTCAATTTAATTTTTATTTTATTTTATTTTTATTATATTTTCTTATATTACATTATTTAGTGTTTATTTTATTTTTTAATTTTTGTTTGATTAAGTTTTCTACTGTTCGTGTTGTTTAAATGAATCTGTGTTAAATATGTATCATTTAATAATGGTGGCCAAGTGGTATGAAGTCTTGTCTATTAATGTTTTGGCCCAGGTTCGAATCCTTGGAGCAGCAAAACATTTTGTCCATCAATTGGTAGAAAAACAAGGAGCAAAATAGTAAATTTTAATTTTAGAATAAAAATAAATAAAAAAATAAATAATTATCGCAGTACATGTATGTGTGTTACACGCGCCGTCAAGTTGGACGGAGAGGGGGGTATTGTGCAACAGTTACTTAATACAAGGGGGTTTGACGCAATTTTTAAAATACCAGGGAAAAACGCGCAGATTTCATATAATACAGGGGGATTTCGTGCAATAAACCCAATAATAATATGCACTTAGACAAATAATGACATTTAGACATTCATTTAATAATAATAATAATAATAATAATAATAATAATAATAATAATAATAATTCGTAAACAACGGGTTTACGAATCGGCCGGTTTCGACTACCGGTTTATCGGGCTCAATTTCATAAAATCCGAACATATATAACACTCGGAAAAATAAAATAACAATATTAATAATGCCGAAATATCCGAAAAATCCATTATTCAAACGGATTATATTCGGTTCACGCGATTAAACCGAAATCGCCGAACGACGAATGTTTTTCAATAAAACAATCGAGTATTCCAACCTTTTATTTAAGTCGACATCGAGACTAAAAAAATAAATATTACCTTATAAATAATATTCGATAAATAGAATATTCCGAGAAATTCTATAAATCGAACGGGGCGCTACACAGGACTACCCGAGGTCGACAACAGGAGAAACTCCATTCAGTTTAGTTTACGGGATGGATGCATTATTACCAATCGAAGTTGAGCTGGAGTCCCAAAGGTCGAGTGCGTATGACCATGAGCAGAATGAGGAGTTAGCTCGGGCAGAGTTGGATGCAATCGATGAGCTAAGGGAGTAGGCGCCAACCAGAGTTGCAACCTATTAACCAAGGATGCGAGTTGCGCATGACAGGAATGTTAAAATAAGGAGATTCTAGGTGGGTGATCTGTTATGGAAAAGAATCGACGTGATGAAACATGTAGCCAAGCTAGAGCCAAATTGAAAAGGTCCTTACCTGGTCGAGAAGGTCCATGCTGGAGGAGCATACTCATTAAAGGATGCTGAAGGAAGGTCCCTACCCAAATCATGGAATGTTGGGAACTTGAAAAATATTATGCTTGAAAATTTTTTCTTTTGAGGATTGTACGATGTGATTTGCTTTACTTATGGAAATTAAAAGAAACGCATGTTGCTGGTCTACATTATTATGTTATCTACTTGGTGTGCTTGTGTGTGACCTCAAGGGCAGGTCACTTTGATTTTTTTTTACAAATCTACCATGGTTGATCCGAGTGTGAGGTCGAAGGCAAAAATGTACCATGATTAAGACTTTTGAGTTGGGTGGTCGCTTGTTTTAAAAAATCCTAGAGTTGGGTTGGGCAAGTGTTGGAGACTAAAATCCACCATGATTAAGGATTTCGAGCGGGTGGTCGCTTGTTTTGAACAATCCCAGAGTTGGGTTTGGCCAGTATTGAAGACCAAAATCTATCATGATTAAGGCTTTCGAGTTAGTTGGTCGCATGTTTTGAACAATTCTAGAGTTGGGTTGGGCAAGTGTTCAAAGCAAAATCCACCATGCACAAGACTTTCGAGCTGAGTGGTCGCTTGTATTGAACAATCCTACACTTGGGTTGGGCAAGTGTTAAAGGAAAAATCCATCATGTATAAGGTTTTCGAGCTGGGTGGTCACTTGTTTTGAACGACCTTAGCGTTGGGTTGGGCAAGTGTTCGAGGCCACACGATACAAGAAGTTATAACCCAATTATGATTGTCAGAGGGGTCCGTTTCGTCAAGGAGGTAATTGCAGAACAATCCTTAGTTCGACGTCAAGAAATCTATCACAAGAACGACCTCAATGGCAGGTCAATCAATCACTTAAAATACTACGCGAGTGTTCGGCTATAGTATGCACAAGTGGGAAGACTTCAACGGCAAGTCGATTAATCATTCTAAAATAAATCAGGTATCTCGTTATCATAAACAAAATAGGACGGTCCCAGTGGCGGGTTGATTAAAAAGGTAATTCTTACCCAGTATTTTTAAATTGGACAACTTTAGTGGAAGGTCGATCAAAATGGTAAAATGGACTAAATTTTTATTATTTTGTTTTGTGGTGGGTGGATTAAACTTGCAAGCACTCGAATATTCTTTATCATATTGGCTATCGGGTCACATTTGACTAATAAGTTTAATGAGTCAAAGCAGTGAGCACATTTTTGTGGTGAATCAGCGCAAAATGAAAAAGAGATTTGGAAAATAAAAAATGACATTAACAGAAAATCAAATACATGTTTGATTGATACAGAAAGCACAAAATAAAAATACAAAATCGATTATGGCGCATTCTATGCCACTTCAACATTGGCGAACTAATTAGGGATGGCCTCAGAGTCGGAATCAACACGTGGATTGGACTCAGGGATGGAGGAAGATGGCAGCTCGATATTGGGACCAGAGATGGTGGTCGAGGCATCAGGATTCCCTAGCACTTGGCGGGTGGAAGACTCTGCCAACGCGGTGTACATGAAAATAGGTGGGACACCAACATCTGGAAGGACTAAGTGTTTCTTTAGCGAAGTGGAGCGTGCAAGAGTTCGTTTAAGAGTCTGCGACCACCAAAGGAATGTGACAGGCAAGGACGGGTCACCCTCAAAACCTTCAGGCACTTGGGGTAAAAAATCCCGAATGAAGTCGGTATCGAGCGCACCATCAAAGTCAGGATCACTTATATGCTTGTTGGCTTCCTCCATGAAGACCCAATAATAGTTGGTGGCCAAGGGCAAGCTGTCCTTCAGGAAAACAGTCTACTTAAGGTAATTAGCGATCAACTCGCGATATTCCTTCAGTAACCTTTGGCCGATGTGGGTTTTCCAGAGTAACTATCGAGCCTTCCCCTTGGTAGCAAGAGCCACCCTATCAGACTCTTTTTTTATTCGAGTTGTTAACAGCTCAATTTGGCATTCCTTAGCCATTAGCTCGTCCTTATGACGCTGGCCATTCTTTTTAAGATGTTGCGCCAACTCGTGACGCGTTTGGGTGAGTTGCTGATTTTCATCGACCAAGGTTTTGGCTGTCTGCTTGAGCTTAAGATTTATTCGGCCTGAACCCAACAAAGAAGCATTGAGCATGGGAACCAAAACGACTAAACCCTGCAAATAAACAATTACAAAAGATCAATATACAATAAATTCAAGGGACTTAAAAAAAAGAATGGAATAGAGATTGTGGTTTACCTGCACTAAAGCTTAAGTGGCACACTTGCTCTGAGCCCTAAGGTCAGAGCCCCAAAGGGTGAGGTCGGCAGCCGGAAGAACCTGCATAAGGAAATAAGTCACCTTTTTCCTGGAGGTGGCTGCCACTAAGGAGGGTGGAGAGGTAATCTCCCTGGTTTCATCCTCAAGTCGAGGTCGTTTGTTACTCTCCTCATCTGGGGTGATCGGTCATTTTTGCCTTTGTTACTCTCCTCCTCTGGGGTGATCGGTCACTTTTGCCCAAGGGCGACGTCAGACCATTGTTTACCGATCGACGGACGGGTCAACCGGGTTGGAGAGGAGGTGATGTTTGGCTCCTTGGTTTGCTCACGCAATTCTCTGCAAAATGCAGGGTGATGTTTAGCATAATAATAACAATCAATGATCGAATAGGCAGGTCGAGCTTCTAACTGACCCAACCTCATCGACAATGAGAAGAGGTTGAAGTATATCCTCAGAGGGGGGAGATTGGGGTTGATGGGTAAGTATATTACAACGAAACAAAATTCCCTTATCTTCAAGGGTTGTCTTGGAGGCAATGGAATGTTTGCTCCAGAGTTTGATGCGGCAGTCAAATATAGAATTACGATCAAGATTTTGGGTCTTGAAAGGAACTTGGTAGAGCCAAGGGCACGACACCCAGGGCAAAGGGGTGTCAGGTCGAACAAAAAATATTTTTCATTTTCATTTACGAATATTGGAGGAAACATCGGATAAGAACTTAGCACCGTTGCAGCTTTGAAGGTAGAGGCCATCTTTATGACTTTTTGCTACAAATGAGTAAAAGAAGAAATCAAGGTCGAGTTGACCTAGACGAATCCGAGAAAGAATGATAAAAGTGGTCAAAGTACCGATGAAGTTAGGAGGAAGTTGATTGAGAGGGAGACCAAAAATACTGCACAGGTCTAGAAGGTCCTTGCTGATGAGGAATCGAAGGCCGAGTCGATGTGACTCTAAAAAATAATATAGTATCCCTCATAAGGATTGTCGCAGGTGTCTAGGGCATGGGAGACTCGAATATCCAGCTAGAGGGTTGACCGACTATATTCCAATACTTACTCAACCATTTCTTGCTACCTAAGAAGGTGCGAGAAGGATCGACCACAGTACGTTTAGCAGGTGGTGGTTGACTAGAAAAAGTTTTAGATTCGGAAGCAGGTGCCTTAGTGGTCTTAGGGTTGGCGAAGGATAAAGGTTCTGGTTGACGAGTGTCATCATCTTTTCCTCTTCGGGCTCGTCATATATCCCGAAGGGTCGATGATGGCGGCGAGAAGGTCTAACCTCGGTCTGAGGGATCTCATCGACCTCCTCGTTGGTCGATGAGGGCGGTGAAGAAGGATGGCTTGGAGCCGTGGAGCCAAGGACAGAAATAATAGTTGGTTGAAGTATCTTGTGCACAAAGGAGGTCAAAGAGTAAGGCAATGGTTGAGAAGTAGAGGAGGAAGATAGAGGAGTCATATCCTTGCAGGAAAAGTAGTCGTTTTCACTGGAAATCCTGAAATCTGGAAAAAGAAATGATAAAAAAATCAAGAAAAAAAGGACAAGTTTAGGGTTGTTTGGGAGTGGAGAAGAGTATAAAAAAGAAGAGGTTATGTCCAAAGTACAGTGGGTTAGTCGTCACCGGCAAATCCGATGGAAAATCAAAAAAGCAAAAATCGAACTACTCAAACCAAATAACGAGAATTAAGAGATCAAAATACTTAATAATTTTCGGAGGATTGATGAAGATTGATCAAAAAACTGGCAAAGTCTAGTGAGTCACGGCGGAGTGCGGCAGAGCGACTGTGAACTATGGAAAATCGGTCTCAAAAGAAGAAAGCACGAGAGCAAAGGCACAAATATAGCTAAAGTAGAATTGTCAAAGATGGAAAACTGAAGAATATCGATTTCAGTGGTACTTATAAGCAATAACATGATCCAGTGGAAAGGTCGGTCGATCTGGGATTGTAGGATGAAAAAGAAATTAATGGTGTCGATCCCAACAACCGAAAGTAAAGAGGCAGACTATCAGAGTCGTTGGATCAAAGGAAAATCAAAGGCGTCGATGTGGCAGTTAGCTGAGAAGACAACTAGGTCCTTTATCGTTAGATTAAAGGTATCAGAGGGACAACATTAATGAGGCATTTAATGGATGCATTGTGCGGGGCAGCGTGGTTCACTGGGCAATGACGTCACTAAGACGTGTGATTGGATGGGCCTAACAGATCTAACATGTGGAAGGTGTAAATTTTGAAATTCAAAATGGAGACTGGAGGGAAGAAGTCAAAAATTTAGAAAAGGTAGATGGAGTGGTCGAAAAATAAAGGAAGCAGTACAACAACAAAAATGGAAGACGAATATCTACTCTTGGATCGAGTTATTCAAACTCGACTAGAGTTGGGATGATATAGTGTACCACACCTATGGAAGTAAATTGGTCGACTCAGCCGAAGTGAACCGCTTGGTCAATCAGATTTGGGGCAGAATTTGTGGTGGCCGAGCGTCACAGATACGAGATTAAGAGCCTTCGATCTGGAAACAATATAAGGGATTCGAGACAGCAAGGACAAGTCGAGCTAGGGCCCTCAAACGGCCTGGTAGAAACTCGACCTGTAGATACGGATGGTCGTGTGATCGACCAGAACTCAGACTCAGACAGTTCGCACCTTACATTAATTAACCTAGAGTTTGTCGTAACACCAAGCAACCTAATACAAAAGATTAAAGGATAAGAAAGAATTTAGGGGATTTAAATCCCCACATGGGTGAAACCACGTGGCAGTATCTGATTGGTCCACGTCTCATAACCACCTCAGACACATTGTGCAGAATAGGTTGTATTATCATTACATCTGGGCATCTTTCTAGAAGCAGTTACCTCACATCTATATATAGGGGTGAGAAATAGAATTTCAAACATCATATTCTATATTATACACTTTATACAGAGTTTTCTCTATGTACTTCATCTCCTACACATACTCATTTAAGCATCGGAGGCTATTCACCGAAAAACCCCTCCGATGTGAGAGGTTTTGCAGGTCGAAAGTGTTCAACCGGCGAGAAATCACGTGAGCAAGCCGATTCCGTCCGGTCGAGGGTCTTTATGTTAACACCCGTAGAATTTTCACTAGGAATAAGACAATTTTTCTATAGTGTTAATTAGTTTTTAATGTTAAGATTTATAGGAGATACCTAGCAACTATTTTACAATTTAACTTGCTTTTGAGAGAGATTATGTTCATTGAACTATTATCTTTAAGAGTTGTATAATTAAATAAGGATAAAACGAATAAATATCTTTTATGAATTGATTTTTTGGAACACATCTTAAGTTATAATCCGTAGATCTTGTAATAATTGATTAATTTAACTGTCAAATCAAGAGGAATAAGACTTTGCTCTTTCTATGCTATAGTTATCCCGTATACTTACGGGATAGTTAAATATTTTAACGAACAAACACCATCCCATTAGGCAATATATGTCCTGCTAGGCGGTTCGTGATTGGCATATTCTGAATAATTGTCGTGTTACTTCTTCTAGGGGTATCATCATTAACCATCTTCTGATGCTGTAAAACCAATTGACCAATTTAGAGAGAAGAATGTTACCACATACGCCACCAATTTGATGTGTTATGCACATTATGTATCGACTTTCTTCTTACGAAGTGACCTCTGATAACTATCAAGCACAGGAGGAGTTCCAAGCGTAAATACTCTGACGCTCAAATCAGTTCACATACTGATAGACTCTCCATATGGTTGCGTCAAAAGAGTTGTATGCAAATTGATGATATTAATTAGGGGTTTTCATACTTGTTAAAGGTATTTATGAAAAGATTAACTTTCCTTTGGGCATTAGCATACAAGAATCCTACCAAATCAAGGTAAGATCTACTCCGAATATATGCAAGTCCCCTTTCCTTATAAGATGGTTTTTGAAAATAGGATTTCCACATCCTTGGAGACCAATAATGGCTACCTACCAGTTAGTCATCAACTCAAGATAGTTAGGTTATACAAAGCCCTAGCTAGAGATGAGCCACTTATAATGAAGGCTACTGCCAAGCTGATAAACTGAATCCACTACCAAGCTTATTAGCCGAGTATATATCAGAATTAATGATTGTATGTAAGTAAATAGGACCTTTATTTGCTTTTAATCTTTTGTATTCTTTTACTTTTTTTTTTTTTATCATATTTGTGGTAGAAAACGTGCTTTACATAAAAAGCACTTCTAGTTAAAAACCATTCGTATATCAAGGGTAATCTTAGGATTTCTCAATCACTTTGTACTATTCATTCCCGCAGAATAAAGAATTGTCCCTTGTTTTCTTAAATTATTGTTTCAGGCTACCTAATNTAATACCAAGGCAATACTCAGTGAGGACCGGAAAAATCTGATTGGCACAGTTGTGATATGCCTCAAGTCATCAAGAAAAAACATATTGATCAAAAAGGGTGTGTTAGAAGGTTCATAAATAGATATAAACTGATAAACCCTCACAAGGTTTCCAAGGCAGATTCTTTTCTTCACTGGGCACGGTTTCCTAAATCAGTAGTAAATTTTCATCATTTTGTGGCTGCAAATTCAAAACAAGAAATTGCATACGCATAGTTTGACTGGTCAATAGATTTGACTGGTGCTGATTGCCCATTTTGGGGACCGTGGTCCTACTATGCATGTCTCTCATGTTTGGTGAGTGTGGGATCCATCTTATTATATAAGAGCCAATAATAATTCTTTTCTCCCTTTCTTTTGCGCAAATTTTTTCTTAATTAGAAAAGGAGTAAATTTAAAGTGACCCTTCATATAAAATAAAACTTTCAATACGTGACAAACTGTTGATGCTCACATTCGACTTTGTCCAAAATCAGGATTCAACATCAATTAATTAAGCCTCAATTGTTCACATTTGAAAAANGTGTTTTTTTTTTTAATAAATCCAGTGTCTATCATATAGACTATTTTTGTAAAACTAGCTGATAAGTTAGTTTATAGTTTATAAGTGATTTTTGAGCTTATAACTTATGACTTATAGCTAAAAAATTAGTTTATAGTATTTGATAAAATTAGTTGATAAGCTAGATGAAATAAAAATTTGAACGAGATTATTTAAAAAACAACTCAAAGAAACTTATAATATAAACTCAAATTTTTTAAAAAATTTTGTTCTACTAAACGAAGTTTATTTCAGAAAAAGAAACTTATATAACAAACTAAATAAGGTAAATTAGCTTATTTGATTATTAAATATAACCATAGAATACCCCACCACCAAGACCTACCGTAATTATTTTGTCTTGGAAGAAAATAGAATTGAAAAACAAAAGCCAATTATATGGGATCCCAAGAATATTAATCGAGTGAGTGGGATCAATGATTGTTTGTTTATGATAATATGTAGCACTGACAGATGATGACAGGTTAGAATATTTGTTGGGTGTTAGTGGCATGACATTGATTTTCCCACCATTGCAAGAATCTTGTTCTTGATTAGTTTTGAACTTCGGAAAACATAAAAAAGTTGAATCATTATTCATTAAATGAGGGAGTGTTTGGTTCTAATTAGCTTAAGCATTGAGCTTATATCACTGCAAGAAAATGATGAAATTTTAACAAAAATATATTATAATAAAATTCTAAAGGTAATTCTAATTAATATTTCAATGCTATTATTTTCATTGGAATTATTCTAACAGAAATTCCAACAAAAATATTCCGTTGGAATGAATTTTTGATTGGAATTTCTGTTGGAATTTGACGATTCCAACGGTAGATTTTCCATTAGTGGTGGAAATAAAAATTCCAATGGAAATTGCATATTCCAACGGTTAAAAGCCGTTGGAATCATCAAATTTCATCTAAAATTCCAATGAACAATACATTCCAACGGAATATTTTCGTTGGAATTTCGGTTGGAATGATTCCAACGGAAGTTATACCATTGGAATATCTGTTGGAATTTTCATTGGAATATATTACCATAAAATTTTACGTTGGAATATAACATTTTTTTGTAGTGTATTTATTGTAGGTTGCCTTGATTTGTTGTTTGATTAGCCAATTATCAATTCCAGTGGTTTGTATACGTTGCTCATCTATTATCTTCATGGATAAGTGATCTCACATCAATCATTCATTGGTATGGTACTAAATGATTACTTAATCTCTACTTCTTTTGTACTCACAGTTTGGAGCTACTAAGAATACAAAGAAGTGAATAATCCATAGATTTTTTTTTTTTTTTTTTTGTCTATTATATATAATGACAATGATTATATAATAAGTACTTTTCTGAATATCTTTCACAAGTTATTGAATGGTAAGAAAATTGAACGGATAAATNGGATAAATAAATAAAAGTATATTATTTTCCATATGACATCGTATAAATGTGGATTAATAACCAAAATGGTCATGGCGACAGGATTTGACGGATGAAAGATTCATACTGACGGGAATAGATAACGAGTGGTGATCATATTACTCATGTTGGAAGTTTGAAATTTTACCAGTAAAAACATTTTAAACTACTACAAAATTAAAGACAATTATTCAAAAAACTAGTAAATTATAGCATGGCATCACATAAAATATAGCACAATATGTGTTGTTTCATAAATTCGCTTGAAATATAAAATAAAAAAACCATAGGTCCATTTAACATTGATTTCTACTACTGAATATCTCGTGTTGTTAGTTTACGATTGATCGCATGATGAAAATTGTCATTTGGGTCCCATGTATAGTTCAAACAATCTGTGTGTTTAGAGTGTATGATGTATGGAAGCGTATGAGTAGAAATGAATGGAAGAATCAATCTCTTAATATGATAAATCACGCTCAATATCTTATTCAATCATCCACTGAATAAAAATAAACTAGAGATAGTCCTTTATATAAAATTCCTAAACTCTAAACCTAACTTGTTCACCAAGACTAAGTAAAATAACAAATAAATACTAAATGCTAAAAATAAAAAAAATAACAGATACTAGTGACAGATTTACATTTGGCTTGGGCTGGGCTGAAGCCCTGCAGGCCTGTTATTTTATATTTTTTTTAAATTATTAGTTTAGTTTTTTTAATTGTATTTTTAGCCCAACTCAATATACCAACCCATTAATCCACAAAAATGTTTCACTTATCTATTAAAGTCCAAAAGACTACAAACACCACTCTAATAAAATATTATATTATTGACCCACCATTTCCACTAAGCACTAACCCACAAAACACCACAATACACCAAACTCTAATCAATAAATCAGTTGCGGCCATGCTCCTCTTCTGAACACCAGAACAATGAATTTAGAAGAACAAAAAAAAAAGCTATTTGACAAGAAAGAGACTAGTTTCAAGAAGACGATCTAATTTCTTCTTTAATAGTAAGTTATATTTTTAAACCCCCTGTTAGATATTTATTTCATTCGTTGAATTATCTTTATTTATCTTTTCATTTTAGTTGAGTTATTTTGAGTTTTAATAGTAATTGCTAGGATTATTTGGTTGCAAATCTTATTTTGTTGATTGTGTATAAAGTAGTAATTGTTTGTTTGTTTGTTTTTTCATCTCTTATATGATTGTTGTATATCATAGTTGGATTTAAAGTTATGATGTGTAAGCATTTCATTTTGCTAATAACTATGTCATATGAAAAATCATCTTATTGGTATTGTGAAATTTCTAGAAATTTACATGGAGCACCAACCTTCGGTCAAGAAAGAAAAAAAACCCATTGATATCAACGTTCTTTAGAAAATGAGATCGTCAAACTAGTGAAAGCACATAAAATACGGTGCAAAATGAGCATAATGAATTTAATTTTGTAAAAGCTCCTCAAGCACGACTTCAGTGAATATTTTAAGAAAATATATTATATGATATTTATAAACATGAGTTTATAAAATTCTAGCTCAGTCTACTCTTAATTTTTGGATCCGTCCTTGGTAGATACTATCAAATATTCTAGTAATAATAAATATTTTGATACTCCGTCTGCACCATTCTCTCCCGATTGATAAGGATTCACTCTCGAATCTGACACAATCTCGCTATCGACAGTTGGAGTCGTACCCATGGCAGAAATCGCCCGACGGTTTCCTCCTATCGACCTCAAAGGTCGAATGTCGACAACTATGTCAGCATGCCCAAGAATTCGTGAGACCACCTCACACAGTAGCACATCAGTGGACCCTCGATGACAGATACGGGAAAAAATTCTCTAATGAAAAGAATAGCACCCTTGGGATGCCAAAAAAACAAACCCTCACCAGCTTCATCCTGTATAGAAAAGAGATCAAGATCTTGACGAATTCGACGTTGGTCCCACCATTTGTCCTCCTCCTCGAAGTGGAGATAAGCTTTAATGTGTTCCGCACTCTCCCATACGGTACCATATATTCCTTGCAGCATTGGTTTATGTGAGTCTTCCCGCAAGTAAGTCCCAACAACTGACTCAAGCTCAACAACTTGTCTATTGATGTGGCCAGCATATTCAACATGAGGCCCAACACAAAGAACCAACCATTTAGTACCTATGTGATTGATGGTGACAGGATCATCTGTAATGCCCCCTAAAATTTCCATCTTGTAGGACTCACTCATAGTCATGATATTTTTCTAGGCTTCTTCTCGGATGTAAGGAAAATTCTTACCAATAGTTCGACCTATTCTTTTCTCCATTTTCGTAGTGGTCATATCACTCAGAGGCTACATGAGGAATTTCTCTAGCCCTGGAGGCTCCTCATCGAAAATCGGTAGTGTTAGTATTATATACTAAAAGCTTGGCTTTGGATGATATTACACTTTTACCCTTTATGAATGAGAATCATGTTTGATTAAACAAGTTCTATGTTCTATTGTTTTGCACTTAAATAGAATGAGTCATCATCGGGTGAACAGAAGATCATTCTATCAGTTACTTGTGAAACAAGAATTGTGGTTCACAACCTAGATGGACGGTTGTAGTGTTAACGGTACAGTTGTTCTTGACTGATTAGTTGCACTTGTACATTTATGTATTGAACAAGATCTCAGAGAGGAGAAGTTCGTTTTATACTGATCATCGTAAACGAACTAGGCCTCGGTTAATTACTGCGTTTCTTAACCCGTAAGATATTAAGCAGACATATATATGCAGTACATATTAGTTTGATTCACTTGGGTTTGGTTCAGTTCGCTTTATTAATATTCCTACTGTCTTGGGTAACATTGTTGTATGTATGATGTGTTGCTAGGATGTTTACGGTCACCATGTGCGTTTGTTTGATGATGTCCCCGATATGAGTTCATGAAGGATTGTTATGTTAAACCCTGCAGGTGGATTAAGTTCCGGCATAATAACAATGTGATGAACGAGCTCTAGCTTCGGTAATAATAAAATATATATATTAATTCTTCATTATCAGTAATCGAATTAATTAATGGACATTATATCTTACACATGAGGAGGTAAATCGGGTAATTATAATTCGAGTCTCAAATGTAATTTGGGTTAGGAAAAGGGAGTGCAATAATAGTACGTTAGTGGACCGTAATATTATTTAATTAATTGGAGGAGTGGGCTTGGCCCCACAGTTAGTCCATTACTTAAGAAGCCCTATTCCTATTCTCCTAATGATCCCAACTGTAGCTATATATATATATATATATATATATATATATCATTAAGCTCATGAGAAGAGAGAGATCCATTAATCACATTACACACGTGAAAAAATGGTGCCCCATACTCTCTCTCTAGATCTATTCGAGCTGTATTTTCTTCTTATTGCTCCACCGGTACAAGTTGAAGAGGTGTAAGAGTGATACCGTAGAAGATCCCGAAGGTAATCGAGACCCCGTGATCATCTACCTGAGCCGACGAACTTCAACCCGAAGGTCGAGATCCGCCGACCCCAGCCCCGCCGATCGGCACCGTGATCAGCCGGAGGACCGCCGCGACCCGGCCAGCCCGCGACGACACTACCGGCGTCACCCGATCGCACGTGACCAACACGACCCGATCGCATGTGACACGGCCCGCCATCCGTTCCTGTGATCCTATCCGTTCGTGTGTTGTTCCCGGTCATCCCGAATCCGACAGATTCAGAAAAGTTTAAGCCGTAAGTTTTCTATGTCAAACCTTCAGATGTGTTGCGCATAGGTTTACGTTTGCTATTGAATTCGTAACTTGTACATAACGAGATCCTCATAGATCCCAACAGGTAGACTGTCGTAGAAAGTGCCCGGGTCAAGGTCGAAGGGTATTGTCGAAACCCCAGCCCGCACGACGATGCCTCTGTTGAACCCCAAAACCCTCGGCTGCGACGTTAGTTGAAGCCCTAGGGCTTATCGAAAAGCCATCCTGCTCGCAGCTGCTCCTGCAAGTAGCCAAAACCCGTGCGTGGGCGCCGAGTTCAGGAAAAAACATGTCATCAAAGCCCTCTGTTGTGCGGTGATTGTCCTAAAACAGGTCGCCCAGACCCTCAGCCGTGCGAAACTGATCGATAAACTGAGGACTAGCGAAACTGGCGGCTGCCTGGTGGTGGACGTGAAAGCCGAGATCGGCGTCTACGCCTCCTCCCATCACGCCAGCTAATCGCCAAAGGGATTGACATCGGACCAAGTCGTCTCGTCATCCTCAGTGTCGTGCTGTCGTGGTGGAGAACGTTGACGGGGGACCCCGCCATAGCCCCGTCCACCACATCCACCACGAAGTCCTCTGTGACCTTCCCAACCAGCAAGTTGAGGTTCGTGTGCTCATCCCAAACAATGGTATGGATACTTAGACGCAATTCCTCAAAACCCGTCGAAAGATTCGCAAACCAATCCGTAATCCATTCATCCATCTGCTAAAACCTAGCCCTCGATTTGTTGAAACCGATCGTTGACGGCTGAGTCACAACGTTTGTTTGCTGTATTATGTCATCGAGAGGCATCTTTAATCGTGCTGACTATTGATATCAACTGATGTAGGGAAGCGTACGAGTGAAAAAGGAATAGAAGAGATTCAATATCTCAATACGATAAAACACACTCAGTATCTTATTCAATCATCAACTGAGGAAAATAATATAGAGGGAGTCCTTTATATAAGGCCTCTAAACTCTAAACCTAACTTGTTCACTAAGATTAAGTAAAATAACAAATAAATACTAAATGCTAGAAATAATAAGAATTGTAGATACTACCAAATATTCTAGTAATAATAATTATTTTGATACCCGTCTGCACCAGTGTGTTTATATATCAAAACATTCAATTCATCAATTTTGCAATGGAGCCATCGGATGGCTCGACTTATGGAGTCATCCACACTTATTAACCAATAGTTTATTGACACGTGTCCTACAATAAATACAATTTGGACAGGTGTGAATACATTAAGTGATGGATGGCTCCATAAGAAAATCATCTGATGGCTACATAGAATTTTTGTTCGATTCATATTCAATTCATACTCAAAATTTAACTCAACTTTAACTCAGTTCTACTATCCTCAATATTATCAATATAAATAAATAATACCTACTAATTATTCTTACACATCACATCAACTTTAATTTACTATTCATCCACTCAAATCGACATACCCAAATCGACTTCCGCAAAGTCGACTCTACGTAGAACGACCGCGAAGAGGCGAAAATTTGGTTAGTCGACTCTTGTAGGTCGACCTTAGTCTGTCGACTTCCAATAGTCGACATCTGTATAAGAACCACAAGAGCGTAACCTCCGAGCATTCAGATACCCTAAGTCGACTCCCAGCAGTCGACTTCACTAAGTCGACTCTCTGAAGACGACTTCCACTCGAGAGAATTAACCGAGCGTAGCCTCCGAATCTTCATATGATCATAAGTCGACCTCCTAGCTCTTGAGGTCGACTCTGTATACCTCGAAGACTAAGGATGTGATGACGACTCATCACACTTGAAGCTCTACATCTTTCAAAGGGATAAAGGAGAATCTTGTGATGACTCAACAGCAAGAGGAGACGAACCGACCGGGGCATTTTGGACCATTTAGGTCCAACGACTTGGGCATTTCGGGTATTTCAAGTAAGCATTCACTCCTATATAAAAGGGATGAGGTAACCCTAAACCCTAACTCTCATTCATTCCACACTCTCCTCATAGCTGCTGCGCAGCATCCCTTCATCACTCTCATACTGACTTGAGCGTCGGAGGCTCTACACCGGAAACACCTCCGGCGTTGAGTTTTTGCAGGTATTCTCTTGGTCTAACAACGACTCAGAGGCGGTTCAAGTAGATCTAAGCTTAAATCCACCGGAGGCGGTTCAAGCAGATCTGAGCTTAAATCCACCGGTTCTCTTCAGATCTAGAAGTAGACCCATCATATTGGCGCCGTCTGTGGGGAGTTCTTGAAGGAAGTAAGAGCTTCACACCTAGCTCCAATCTGTTTGCTGATGGCAGAGAAGGAAGGTTTGCAGAGGAATCTGAACGAGGAGTTTAGGGGAGCGTGGATGGACAAGAGGTCACCACCACTTTCCACTCCTAAGCACCCAGTGATGCAGATGATGGGGATGCCACTATTCGGAAGACTTCCACCACCGGGGCTGACGTTGAGGGGAGAAACTCCCGTCACTCCAACCGGAGTGAAGATGCAAGTGTTAACCCAGGCAGGAACAAGTTAAAACCCTAACCCAGATAGAGAGAAGGAACCAACAGAGATGTCTCGACGCGAGGGAAAACAAATACAGGAGGTACCAGAGCAGACACAACCCCGCGTCGAGGAACAGACCTTGACAATGACGAGGAGCGAAATGCAAAAGATGATAGCTGAAGTTGTGGTCGCCCAGATGAAGCAGGTGGCGCAGGTCGAGCAGCAGCCTCGTGTTGAGTACCAGCCTCGGGTCGAGCAACAACCTTGATATGGGATATTATATGGCTGAGGAATAGACCGGTTTGCATCATCGGTCGAGCAAGCTCGGAGTGGAGAAAACCGGATTGGTCGAAGGATGATCGACCAAAAGGGAAGAGATCGAGCAGAATAGCAGAACTGGTCGAGGATCGACCTAGTGATGGGGGGCTCGACCAGATCGAGCACATAGCAGGTGGAGAGTAGTCGAGAGCGTGGCTTGAACACAAGAAGGCGCGTGGATGGCGTTAGAAGATCCCAACGGCCTGCGCAGAAGAATAATCTCCCTCAGCTCAGAGGGACACGTGGCGAGAATATATTGGTGCAGAGTGATAGTGGCGAAAGCCATCCCTGACATCTCTGACACATGCACACTATGTGTGTACGGACGGGCAGTACGGGTAGGACAGCTCACCAAAAGCCGGGCAGTTCCTAGGGTAGGTATCTCACTCCTATATATATGGGAGTGGGTCTTTTTTTTTAGGACTTACGATTTATCCATTCTTTACTTTTGGAAAATTGAACAAACACATACTGACTTAAGCATCGGAGGCTCTTCACCGGAAAACTCCTCCGGTGGGAGAGTTCTGTGTAGGTGCGCGGCGTTCTACCGGCAAGGAAGAGAAAGGCGGACCAATTTCAAGCCGGTTGGAGTGTTTTGCGTTACCATTTGGTGCCGTCTGTGGGACTTTCGTTCGAAAAGTGGTGTGCTGAGATTTCTGAAGCTCGGTGGCTATGGCGGACGAAATTCC